AAACAAAAATAATAAGGAAGTTATTATCATGAACAAAGTTATTTACCATGTTTGATGACGACATTTCTTCCCAAACTCCCATTGGCTACTTGTTGACCGGAAGTAGACTCCGACCCACTCTCGTCTCTTTGCTCCGTGGCATCTGCAACACAAGCTGCTGCCGCCGCTGGTTCCACTGCTGCGCTGCAGCTGGGAGCTCCCACAGGACGGACACAGACAGGAACATGTGAGTTATTGTTTTCATGGCGACTGTAATTCACCGACAGGCCGCAGCACAACCGAGAAATAACATGAAAGCGAAGTGTAGCTCCCAGCATCGCTAAGCTAGCTGCTGAACCGCGGCCATATCCGGATCGGGTGCTTCAAAATAAGAGTTCACGACATGCGTGAGATGAGGGTTTTCAGAGGGAGGGTGTCATTTCCTACATTAACCACCAACCCACGTTTGTTTCTATGTGAGTTGTTCAATAATCCGGGAACAGTTGAATTCATCTGATGATTAGTCTGAGTTTACAGTCGTCACACACAGGATCATACCAGTGTGGTGGTATCACTGTGAGAGTTTACTGTGGGTTTTAACCAGTGCTACATTCATCTCTATCCTTGTTTTAATGTGAAATCTTCTTTGGGTATGTAACACTCAAAGTAAGCTTTGTGCTGAGTGTTTGAAAGTCACTAAGCAGAAATGCTCCAGCGTAGTTCAGTATAAACTTCAACTCCAGTGGGTTACAGACATGATGCATGGCTGTGTTCTGTTTCTCTCATGGATTGAATTCTGTTCTAAGTTCATGTCTGTTTCTGTTTCTATTTGGGGAGAAAAAGGGACACATTGCAAAATACAGTATAACTTCCTTTTTAGAGTTGTAGAGTTTAGAGGGACTCTCCAACAGCCTACCAAGCATTTTTAAAAGTACAGGTTTTATTTCTGGCTCTTACTTTTTAGACTGCTTAAAACCTTTTGTTCAGAGCACAATGGCCCTTTGGTACATATTTATTTGCAGAAGTTGTGATCTCACTAATATCTGATGCCTTGTTTTATGAAGTATTTTATATTTGCTTTTTTGGCAAGTTAACATTGGAATAACACCTGGACTTCTGTGTTTTTTTGGCTTTAAACTCTCCTTTACCAGAGGGAAAAAAATGTGGCACCAATTAAAACAGTGCTGTCACTCTTTAAATAGTAAAATTAAGTATCTGAAATTAAATGAATGCTGTCAATCTACAAAGAAATGGTTTGTTAACTACCGTAGGTGTTTGAAATATTCGAGTAATGCTTTCCAACTCTGGCACCTTAGACTCAGGGCCCTGCTGGTTTTCATTACTGAGGCTGATTTACACCTGTGAGCTCAGGTGAAGTCTACTGCTGCCAGGACAGAAGAGAACACCATTACTCAACGTGCTGAGGGCTGGAGCTGTAGGTTTGTGTGACCTTCATGGAACATTTGTGGTGGTATGAAGTGTAAAAACCCAAGACCTCCAGAGTCTTATTTGGATCTGCACCAAATTGCAAACACTCATGAATAAAAAATCTGATTTCTTTCATCCAGATCCATGAATTATTCTTTGAGGAAAATGATGAGAAACACTGTCCTTGTGTCATGTCCCACCCCTCCATGAGAGTTCATGGAAATAGGTGGAGTAGTTTTTGCTAACTAACAAACAGTCAAACAAACAAATACATATGAAAACTTAACTTCCTGGGTGAAGGTAATACAAAACATTTTCATCAGGAAAGTTATCCTGAATACCTTGAATTTCTCCTTGAATTTCCTTTGGGATCAATAAAGTATCTATCTATCTATCTATCTTTCTTTCTTTCTTTCTTTCTCTCTCTCTCTTATGTTACATTATTTTATTCCACCTGTGTCCCCTTTGCTTTTTCCAGTTAATTAACCAGATCTTGCACTTGCCTGCACCCCTGCACTCTTATGTATCACTTTCCTTATTTTCTGTTTTGCATGCATTTTTTAAAAATTAATTTTATTTCTTCTTATATTTATTTCCTTTTCTTATTAATTTCCTTTTCACATGTCTTCTTAAAATCTATTCTCTTCTTATTTTTAATTAAATGTTAACATATTTTCATCTTCATCTATATTGTATGTGAAGCACTTGGAGCTGCATTTCTCGTATGAAAGGTGCTGTAGAATAATGTCATTATTATTATTAATTGTGCAGCTGTTCTGGAGCGTGCGGTGCCTTTATTTTGAAGAGGAAACTGTTTAACCGGAAGTCATTGTTATTATCTTGCTGGTAGTTAATCTCGCCCATCTCCTCTGTATTGTTGTTTAGCTGAGAGCTAGTCGCTGTGTGCTAGCGAGGACAGTCCAGGTGAAGCTAATTCTGCATGTGTGTGTTTCTGGGATTGAATCTTTAAAATGTCAAATCTCTGTAGATGTGGAACATGTTGTCACACACACGTGTTTCAGTGTTTTGTTCATTGATTGAATGGAATTGTCAGTGGCAGGTTGGTTAATTACAAAGGTGGAGTGAATGGGAACACAGTGTTGCTGTCTGATTTCCTGCTGATCCCCAGTGTCTTACTGTGATTGATTTTCTCAGGTGATCATCTCATGGATTCACACAGGACCAATGTATGAGGATTCACTGGAGCCCAGAGCCAGGACCTTCACAATAAAGCAACATCAATGGATCTCCAGATCTCTAAGAGGATGTGCTCAAGCATGTCGTAAGTAATGTGATCTGCAGGGGAAAGGGAATGCCGACTTATCGACTATAGCTTGTATGTGAGCGTGATGCCCAGGCGGGGGTTGCCGCTCCAGGGCCGCGTCCGCTGGCTCTTCCTGGGGCTCTTCCTGCTGCTGGTGCTGCTGCTGTTTGCATACCTGCTGGAGTGCACCCCTCCAGCAGACGTCAGCCTGGCACTGCCTGGCCTAGCGGGAGAGACCTACAGCAAGGAGTATTACCAGGCCCTACTGCAGGAGCAGGAGGAGCGCCACTTGAACCGCGCCGCCAGCCTCAAGCGCCAGATCGCCCAACTCAAGCAGGAGCTGCAGGAAATGAGCGACAAGCTGAAGCTCCTGCAGGACAAGAAGGAGCTCCCTGGGGTGCAGGGCCTGGCAGAGACTAAAGACCAAGAGCCAGGAGATCTGCTGGAGTACCTGCACTCTCAGATCGATAAGGCCGAGGTCAACACGGGGGCACGCCTGCCCAGCGAGTACGCCCTGGTGCCCTTTGAGAGTTTCACCTCGTCCAAGGTGTATCAGCTGGAGATGGGGCTGACGCGACACCCGGAGGAGAAACCTGTGCGCAAAGACCGCCGGGACGAGCTGGTGGAGGTCATTGAGGCCGCACTGGACATCATCAACAACCCTGACGAGGAGGACGGCGTTGAGGACGACGTACCAATGCAGAGACAAATGTACACAGAGGTTCACTTCACTGAGGGTAAGACACACACATTAGCTGACTACCTGACAGATGACTGAAGCCGACATGTTCTCTGTGAAGTAATGTTTTTTTATTTTGTTTTCTTTGACAGGACTGTACAGGACAGAGCGAGACAAAGGGACACTTTATGAGCTCTTCTTCGCCAAAGAGGATTCCAGCAGTTTCCGTCATGTCACTCTCTTCAGGCCTTTTGGTCCTTTAATGAAAGTCAGGAGCACATCTGTAGAAACATCAGGAATGATAATTAACATCATTGTGCCACTGTCGGGCAGAGTAGAAACCTTCTCTCAGTTCTTGCACAACTTCAGGTGAGAATGAATCCCTCCCACCAGCCTGACGTGATCCAGCACGTTCAGGTTGAATTTGCCTTCATGCACGATGACCTGATTTTCTTGTGAAATGAGATGCAACAAGATCACAAACATTATGTGTCTCTGTTAGCTTGGTGCACCATTAATCCTCCCATCCTCTGACAACAGCAAACTAACATTAATGTGAGCTTAACTTTAACACACAAGTTATTTTATCAAGGGTAATCGCTAAAACAGTTTTAAGACAACTGAACCAGGATTAGGTTATGTTATCGGAATTTATAAACAAGTAAACATAGCTTTCTGGTGCCGGCCATCACATTACGTTATCTGACATTTTGTGTATTCTCACTTCAGAGGTTGAGCCACCGCGATGTCCCACCATGCCGTTCTCCTGCAGGAATACAACACGGCATCTGCTTTTTGCCTGGAATGGCTCATTTAAATCTTATATTCACTTATGGAATAAAATTGATTTATGGAATGTAATTAATTTACCATATATATTGTATGTGTTCTAATCGAGGGTTGACGAGCTGTCTTTTCCCACTTTGGAATGCCACACACATTCACCTAAAGTGCAGATGCCCCAGTTTTCCACCAGCACATAAACACAGATTCAAATTCAAAAACAGGCACATGTAAGCTGATCTGTGCGTCTCAGGCGATCCATGAGCACTTAACAATCTGTCACTACACACAAAGAATGTCACAAATGTATAATAGACATTTGTCGACACAGGAAGCTGTTTGAATGCAAACAAGTTAAATCTGTACTTAAAATATTAATATTTATTTTGTTTGTGATGTGAGCACTTTTACATGTTACCTGATATTTGTGTGTGGATTTTAACACATATTTGTGAGAACACAAAGTTACGCACAATTCATTGAATGCATTTGCTAATCTTATTTTTCACTTGTAGATAAGCCAAACACCTCTGAGACCATTTCTCCATGTAACAGTGCTCTTGTATATAATTGGATTCATGTATAAAATGTGTTTTCAGGGAGGTGTGCATACAGCAGGACAGACGGGTACATCTCACAGTGGTGTATTTTGGGCAGGACGGTCTTCTGGAGGCAACATCGTCTCTGGAAAAAATGTCAAGGTTTGTCGCCTCACTAAGAACAAGCTTTTCATGATGTCCTACTTTTTATGTTTAACATTTGAATGGAAATTTAAATATTGCCAGGGAGGAGAACTTCTCCAACTACACTCTGATCCCCGTGGACGAGGAGTTTTCACGAGGCCGGGGTCTGGACATCGGAGCCAACACCTGGAAGAAAGGTGACGTGTTGATGTTTTTTTGTGACGTCGACATCCATTTTACGCTGGAGTTCCTGTACGCCTGTCGTCTCCATGCTGCTCCGAGTAGGTTTTTATATTTTACATTTATTATGTTTACAGTCCTCTGTGTTCAGGCTGAGTGAAGCTGAATGTGTTTCTGTGTTGTAGACAAGAAAGTCTTTTATCCAGTGGTGTTCAGTCTGTACAATCCTGCCATAGTCTATGGAAATTTGGAGCTGGCTCCACCTATTGAACTCCAACTGGTAAGGACTGAAAGTTCACATTTAGCTCTGATTAGTATGTGTGTAGAACGATGAGAAAGTTTAATCCTGTCATTGTTTTCAAACAGATTCACAAAAAGGATGCTGGATTTTGGAGAGACTTTGGGTTTGGAATGACGTGTCAGTATCGCTCAGATTTCCTAAATATTGGTGAGCACTGTTAATTTCTTTAACGACATTCAGCAGTAGCGTCATGATCAGCTTTTGAGTCATTTAACTTTCATGCAAATCTCCCTGCAGGAGGGTTTGATCTGGAGGTGAAAGGCTGGGGTGTGGAAGACGTCCATTTGTACAGGAAGTATCTCCGGAGCGACCTGATAGTGATCCGAACGCCGGTGTCCGGCCTCTTCCACATGTGGCACGAGAAGCAGTGTGCGGACGAGCTGACGCCTGAGCAGTACCGCATGTGCATCCAGTCCAAAGCCATGAACGAGGCCTCCCACCCCCACCTGGGAATGCTGGTTTTCCGTGAGGAGATCGAGACTCACCTTCGCAAGCAGGCCTTCAAGACGCAGAGCAAAACAGAGGACTGAGCGAGCCTCAGACGAACCTGACGTCATTCCAGTGTTAAAGACTGTGAGGTGCTGACGACACACACGTGTCACGGCACAGACATGTTTACACGAATCCTTCTGCATTTCACCGCACAGTTGTAGACAAATGAATGTACAGAGATGAGCGCTGATCAAACTTCACAACATGGTACAAGTCTTATTGAAGAGTTACATCTGCTTCACAGGTACATGATTCAATTAACAATATTAAACCGACTAGAGGAAACAGTTACACTCGTTGAATAAGTAATAGATTTCTTGGATTTAAACTTTTGTTGCTTTTACATGTTACAGTCATTTCAATTAGCATGCAGTTGTTAAAGGAGACATATTATACTCATTCAGGCTTGTGATTTAATTTAGCTTATAAAGGTTTACATGCTCTAATATTGATGCATCACTGTTCTCATACTGTTCTTGCTTCTGCTTCTCTTTTCAGTCTGTCGCTCCGCCCCCGCTCACTATTTCCTGGGATTGTTAGGGGGTGGGGCTAACTGCTAGGCATCGTCACATGACACAATGATGAGGTAGTCTCATTCGCATTACTGACTTTTCAGGAGTTCATCAGGAGCAGTGGTTTCTTTCTTTGTGAGGGGAGAGGACATTTGACTTTTTAACTTTGCAGACCTTTGACCTGCACAAAAAGCTACATAACACACAAGAGGAAAGAAAACTGAAAAACCAGAATGTCTCCTTAAACCTGGTACACAAGCTTCTCATTAATTCATCCTACCTGGTTCAAACACAGCACCTGATATTCAGCCGGTTTCTTCACCGTGTTCATCGTCTCTGCGGATTTCCGTTGTTTTAGATGATTTGTGTTTTCCAAGAAAACGTGTTAGCTGTCACGGGTTCGAGTGGAAAAGAAAAAGTTGCAAAATCTAAATTTAAATTTTTTTTATTTTAAATAAAACCAATCTTCCACCTAACACAGTGTAGTATGAGCAGTTGTAAAAGGAGCCATATTGTTCTGTTAGTATTTTATATGTATTAATATAAACACAGCACAAACATGTCTCAGACTGACAATGAGATATAAAAGGGACCTTTTCTTCGTGTTTTTAATGTGACGTGTCCGTCACTTCCTTCCTTTTCACTGATGACAGTCATGTGTCTTCATGTGATCATTAGAACAAAGATGCATGCTGATGAACTAGTTGAAGAACCAGGAGCACAGATCGGCTAACAGCATGCAGCGCTTTGATTGCTCAGGACTGTTGACCAGTGTTATTGTCCATTCGTTTCAGCCCAGTGAGCGTCACGCGCAGCTCTATGATTCCAATACTGGACTGTGTTTGAATGTTACAGCCACTATTGTACATACTTTTCTAACACTATTCCTTTTGTTTCATACATGTGACTTGAGTACATTTGTATTTACCTACATGCTTTAAGAGACAGGAAATTACTGTTTGAGTCTTTGCCGATGGCTGTAGGCTCATTTTTTTAATTCCATTTAATGATGAGGATGTTTACAGCTGAAAGGTTTGGTCACAGAGTACAGCTGTCAGACAAGAAGGGCTTTATTTTCCTCATAAAGAAAGTAGGTCAGTCTCACATCTCACCCTGTATTGTAATTAAATCAATGTCTTTGCAGAGCTTTTTGTAGATAGTCTTAAAAGTCTCCTCGTCCCGCAGGAGAAACGTTACATGTCTTCCTCTCAGCAGTACACAACGATCCAAACAACAAGAACGTTGTGCAAGGAAATGATTTATTGACATTTGGCCATGAAATAAAACATACAGAAGGCTGCAGTAACTGCTGCTGTGTCATTTCTGCTGTTGGCATTTGATTTAAATCCCATATTTTCAGTAAACTTGACCCCTTCTATAATTTATACTATAAAAATGTAATATCAAACTTGTCAAGTGTCTGAATCTACCAGCCCATTCGTATATTTCTTAATTTAAGACAAATGGTATAATACAATTGTATTATTCATCTGCACACAATACACTACATGAATAGAAAATAAGAGGAAAGATTAGAGGGAGAATCAAAATCCAGGATAACCGACATGAAATAAACCTAATGAGAGTTTGAGGCAGGCGTCTTTTCATCTCAGGTACTTCATGTTGTTAATGTATCATGTGTTCCGGATGGATCCCCATGGTGTTGTAGATCTCTTTGAGAATGAGCAGAGCGGTGTCTTCAGATTGCCTAGAAAATAAGAAAAGGGGGTTACTGTAGAAGCTTCACCCTCATCTGCTTACAGGTGAAGTGGTTGAGCTACAGGTGCAAGTGGGAATTAGCCGCTCAGTGTTGAGAAAGAAAGTCAGCAGTAAGGTAAGAACTATACAGAAATGGGATTATTTAAAACACATCATACATTGTCTGATGTCAGAGTCAGACCAATTGCAAATTAGGAGATGGCTGCAAGAAAATATTATTGTTACCTCCACCAAGGAGGTTTTGTTTTTATCCCTGTGTGTTTGGTTGTTGGTAGCCATTCCAGGAATTTTTTTATCACTTTGTTTAACATCACGAGTCAGCGTTTATCAACATTTTTACTGTTAATGGTGAAAAGTGCCTGTCACTGTTTCCCAAAGCCCAATGTGTTGTCTTCAAAGGACTTGTTTTCTCTGACTGTTACCAACCCAAACATATTTATATTACTAAAATGTAAGACCAGAAAAGCTGCCATTTCTCACCATTACATTTTTGCTTCAAAAATTATTTATATGATTTATACTTCATCATAAAGTGGCTGAGTAATTTCTTTCCTAAAATAATTTCAGATCTAATTGCATTTGCGAATATGTGGAGGAATTTATTTTTAAAACGTGTGCAGTGGTAACCAGCCAGAATGAAATAGGGAGCTCTGTACCAGTAGCAGAGATGACTCTGGAGGGCAAACAGGTACTCGTTGAAACTCTCGATGGGCTTCTCCTGCAGCACGTAGTCGATGCGATTCCCTCCGTTCAACATCCCGATCTTCACCTGAGGCTCCTCTTCTCTCTGAGGCTCAGGGCTCTCTGGGATCTTGTGCTCTGTGGGAAATCAGAATCGACTCATTAATCTGGAACAATACAGAAATCACTTACACTGAAGAGTCACAAATCAGAGAAACTCACCCTCCTCCACTTGCTTCTCCTGTTCTTCAATCTGATTTGCCACCATGGCCAGCTCGGCCTGAAGCTGGGCAGACGAGGTGTGAGCGCGAGCGAAGTCATTGAGCGTCTGCCAGGCGCTCCTCAGGGAGCTGATGAAACCATGCTTCAGGTCTGAGCCCATTCTGGAGAGACTCTCCTTCAGCTCTGAAACACACAGAGATCTACAACTTCACAATCTGCATATAAATGCTCACTCATGAACCTTTATAAAATGTGTGAAACTGACAAATGTGATTACTTAACTTTTATTTGATGAGTTATTTGACATGTCTAGAGTCTTTTTTTGCCATTTTATTGTACCATGTAAGAATAGATTCTTTGTATTTCATCACCTCTCAATAAAGGACATCCCATCCATAAGAGGCAGAGAGGACTGAACTGAGGACACATTTACTTTAAGTCTTGTCAACAACTCAATTCAGGTTCTTCAGAAGATTTGTAAGTTTGCCAGCTTTAAGTATTCACTTATTACATATGACTTTAATTTACTTGAAGCTTATTAAATATGTTAACAGCATTAAGACAACAGTGGTCAAGTGATCTGGGATGATAAATGAGCGAGAGTCGTACCGAGATGAAGCCTCTTCCTTCCTTTGTGATGAGGGATCAGAACAGGCTTCAAGTCCAGGTCTGGTAAAATCAGGGGCTCGATCCTGTATGCCACAGGGTCCAACTAAAAGAAGAACGATTAGAGGGTAAAACTTAAAGTGACCAAGCTACACTGATTAATTGCTTCCGCCAAGGAGGTTATGTTTGCTGTTTGATTGAATTTGAGGGGGCAGTGGCATCAGCTCTATTGAGTGCAATTCTATGTTGATCTGTATTTTCATGCACACCAATTATTGTTTGGGCAAGTAGGGTTAAGAGGAAATTGCGTATATTTATATCACAATAATATTCATGGTATAAACTAATATGAAAAAGACAAATATAAAGAATTACAGAGACGATTGAAATGACTGAATGAATGCCTCTGCACAATCAAAAACAACAGAAACATGCTTCTTGTCAAGTGGGTGAATAACTTTTGAACATCTCTGGTTTCATTAGCAGTGATTCCTTCTTTCAGGATGCACAGGTTGGAGGAGCAGCTTACCGGATGGTAGATATTGAAGAATCCCTTGCACGTGGGCAGCTGGTACGTCTCCTCGATCTTCTCCAGACCTCGGACTGTCAGGAACATGCCAATCGGAGAACCCAAAGCGAAGAAATTCATTGGCTCAAAGTCAAGACCGTGGTAGACGACAGACACCTGCAGAACAAAAAGTCAGTGAAGTAGTTGCTAAATGTCTTTAAAAAAAAATCTTTCAAAATATCACCTCTCTTTGTGTTTTAAAGTCACTTTTACCTGTCCAGTACCAACTTCAAAGTAATTGTAGTTGACATGGATGGAGGAGACAGTGTTGCCAACAGGAAGCTTCTGCTGAGCAGGATCAGGCAGAGCTTCAGCTGCTTGAGGTGGTGTCACAACCTGACTGACTTCTTTGACTTCTGCTTTCTTCTCCTGGGCTGCCTGACGTGCAGCCTGCGTGCATTAAAGCATGACAGTGATAAATAAAGAGCACGTCAGCAGTGCTATCTCCACTGGTTTACAAGCTGCACACACTCTCAGGAGATGACTTGCCTGCTTGTTCAATCTTTCTTTGACAAACTTGGCGATCTTTTTCCTGGGGCCCAGTGGGATTCCCATCTCCTTCAAGTCCTCAACAGTGCACATGAGCTGAGAGAAAGGGACAATAGAAACAGTCACTCTATCTCCTAAGAATTACGTGTGTAATTACAGGTTTAACATGAGAAAAACAGCAGACTTTGAATTTTCAGCTTTCAAAATGTCCCTCCATGACAAACCAGTGTCTAATGTTATCTCACTTTTAAAATACATTTTCAAAATACATCACTTGGACTTGTTTTTGGAAAAAAAAAAAATCTTTACAACAAGCAAAAAGGGTAAAATCTTACGAAAGATTCACTGTCAATCTTTTCCTCGTCAAAGGTGCCCTTGTACTCGGACAGGCCCAGATTTTCCAGCATAGTAGAAAGATCTTCACACTCCTCTTCATCTTCTTTGGCCTCCTCTTCTACAGCCGGTGGAGCGACTGCATTACTTTCCTGCGTAACAGGGGCTGCCACCTGATAAAGGCAGAACTTATAATAATGTATTGCCACCTTATTTTGATGTGCTCCATTATGCACATTAGGAAACCAAAGATCTGGAAATGTTTATGTGCATCACATTCAGTAGGTAAATAAAAAGACAGTTAATTGCAGTTTCTGCAAGATAATAGAAGATGAGTTACTGAGTTTATTTGTTAAATTCAGTTAACTGTTGTATGACCTGTTTGGCGTCTCCATTAGAGGTGTGCATGACTGGCATGGCTGCTGCGAGAGAACCATCCTTCTGATTAGAAAGCAGGTCGAAGAGAATCAGTGAACCTGCAGGTACAAACAACAGAACCACAGTGTAGATGAAAAACAGAGGAGAAACAGAAAGAGCAGAGGTGATGAAGCTACTGAACTGGTTTGGTACCTAAACTGTGTCCAGCCACTGATATTCCTCCTCTGTAGTCTGGGTTCCTCATCAGGAACAGAGCATAAAGTCTATTAATCTCAAGGGCAACTGTGTCCATGATGGTCTGGCAGTAAGTGGGACTGTTGTAGAACAGCACGTCTAATAAAGTCTCATTTGTAAAGTGACGTAACCTTCCAGTGCTGGGCAGGGTGATCTTCTTTATCCTCCTAAAAAGAGAAAGAAGTCTTATTAAAGATTGTTGAAGAGTAAGTCTGGTTATGGTCTTTGTGTTCCTCTTGATAAAAGGAATCCTCTAACATGTTTATCTGTGTGGATTCTTTTTAACACCAAACACCTCTGTTTATTTAACAGCTATTAAAAACAACTCAGTGAGTTATATTGTTGTTCTGGGTGACATGATCCGTCAGGACTATTAACTCACTGTAGTTTATTTTAATTCAATCAATTTGAGTCAGAAAGTATTCAAAGAACCAAAAGCATTGTTGGTTTTCAATGGATTTGATAACAATAAGAAAAATAATAAATTCAGTCCTTTCATAAAACTGATGTTCTGCTAAACAATTAACAAATAACTGACTTTGCATATCTGGACTTACAAGCTCCTGATGGATTGTTTAATGTCCTGATATTTCAGATTTATAAGATTTAATTTTGTGTTAAGATAAAAAAGTCCATGTAAACGTAACCCTCCTCACCTGTCCACCCCGGTGGCATCTCCGTGCAGAGCTGTGTGCCACTGGACAGGTAGGAACTCCACCCTGCTGATGGCGTGCTCATCCACCGATTTCTTAAAGTGGCTGTGCAG